TGAGCCGACTTTTCTCCATTTCAACTAATTCCAAGTGTGATTTCTGTGTTTTCAGCACCTGTTGGTTGCTACAGGGGAGTTTCATTACAAACAAAGAACTTCACAGACTGGAAATACAACTATTTCTGATGATTTTGAAAAGGTGTCAATAATTCTGTCCAGTCCACGTTTGGAGTTCTGTGTGGAACGGATCAGATTTGGCTTGTTTGTTCCAATGCAAACAAAAGAAATAAACATGAAAATAGCAAAGACTTTGTGACTGCAACAATTATCTGACAGAAATGCACAGGTACCGATATTTTTGGCTATGACTGTAAATACACCCATGTGTACACTCAATACAACATTCTACAGCCAATATGTCTATAAAACAAAATAAATCTCATTGTGATTGTAGAGTTAGTTTCATATTGACCCTGTCCAGTAAATTCTGTATATTAACATAAAGCACATCCAGCGAACATCAACATACAGTCACGCACTGTGTTGTAAAACAAACTATCCACACAGAACAAATAACAACAAATAACAAGGAGGGAGCTCACATACCTGCAGCAGCTTCTACGTGCACACCTGCAACGGAGGCAGGGCAAGCAACAGCCGCGTGCTCCATGGCAAACTCGCATCCCATTAATGTGTTGTACTCTACCATGAATATACAAAGATGAACGTAAAACAAACTGTATGACTTTTGTAAAATAAAAAATAAACCCTCATTTAGCTGTTGAGGTCAGCACACGTGTACAGTGAGCCAAGCTCAGCAGGGGCTCCAGCTGCACATCACAACAGCTCAAACTGGGAAATTAAACTAACAAAATTAAAGCTCCGCAAAACATGACCATCAAGAGACAAATATGTGGAAAACAATTAAGTGTTTGCAGACGTAAAGGAAGAATTGTTTTAATACATCTACTACACATGTGCACAGTAACTAAGTATATTTACTCCAGACGGTACTAATTTAAGGTAGGCCTACATGTACTGCACTCGAGTATTTCATCTTCTTGCTAATATGTACTTCCACTTCACTACATTTTAGAGGCAAATGTGATACTTTTTATTGTATTTTACTGTACGTTTCCACATTTACTTACTAATTACTGTGCAGATTATAATTTTTCATCCCCTGGTTCAGGGAAAACCACAAATCTCTGAATTAGGTGATTTTTCTGATAAATTGAAAGGGTAATTGTTCCTAGGCTTAATAAATTCAGCCTAAACTTAACCAACCATTAAAAAACTTGGATTAACTGGAAAATGCATCATCGTTGGGCTTTTACAAGTTTGTGATGATCTGATAGACCATTAAACAGCAGCCTTAAACAAGTGCAGCAGTAAAGTTCAACATATACATGTACATTGATGCACCAGTAAAATGAATCCAAAAACATCATAAAGTATATGATAGTAAATCACTAACAGGGACACGCATTTGCCTAATGTGAAGAATCACACATTTGTTTAAGAGCTCAGGGAAGAACGTGAAGAGGACTCATGACCCTGAGGTGCTTCTTTTTCTCAGACGCACTGCATGCAGGCTCCTCAGTGCCTCAACATGAAGCAGTCCCGTTTCCTTGCTGAGGGCAGGAAACAGGAAAGAGATGTGAGAAAACAGGCAATCAGCTCTTTGGCGGCTCCTCGGCATGCCAACGAGCTTTTCCTATCTCTAAATATCAGCAAGAAGTAGAGGAATAAGTCAAGGAAAGGGGGAAGAAATGAAAATCCACCTGGCAAATCAGGAAAACTTCAAGGACGAGTCTGTTGGGCCAGCATTGCTGTGCATTGCCTCTGGAGTTTAGAGGCCAAACAGACTGATTCATACATTGCTTAGCACTGATGCATATTCTTCAGAGAAGCAGCAGTTTTGTCACATGCTTTCCAGCTTCTTCGCCAGTGAGAGCTTCATTTCCTGCAGTGGTGCGCCTGCCCTCGCTTGAAAAACAGGAGTGTTACTCTATAAAGCACATTTAAAGGGTTGATAAAGTGAAGTGTGAGCAATGTAGATTTGCTGGACTGATACTTCAACAGGAAGCACTAATGCTATCGTATTCAAGTGGTTTCCCCACAACACAATGAACAATTTGAAACATGAGTGAATAACACTGTCAAGAGGCTTTTAATTTCCGAATATTAAACTGCTCTCTGCACAAACCAGCAGAGTTCATGGCTCACTTTATGTAATAGCTTTTGCTGGTCCCTTGCTCCCACAGAGAGCTGTTGTCATAGCGATGCAGTCTTCTCCAGCTCATGTCTGTATTGTTTCATTGGCGTCGTGCTGCAGGAGGACGCCAGCGTACAGCGTCTACTTCACATCACTGCCGGATGAACAACTTCAGCGCTGCGGATGGATCTGCAGGGAACATCACTGAAACGTCCAAACGCACGCCCACTCACAACAGCATAGCCGCCAACCCACACACACAGACTGTCTCAGAGATGCTTGGATTTACAAGGACACCGGTGTCGTTCAGGGAGGCTCTCTCTGTTTTCAGAGGCTGACTCTTTATCGTGATTTGAATTCAGTCTAATGCAGACGTGGCACTGTTTGGCAGTCAAATCAGCCGCAGGTAGAACTCAGGTCCTGAACCACTGCCTGCCTGTCAGGTGACACACGACTGCTGCACAGTCATACAACACAAACAGTGGTGTTTGGATTATAACCTGGTTTCACAGTTTCTGTCATGTAGCTCTTCACCTCAGGACTCAGTAAGGACTCCGACCTTCCAGCTATGTTAGGTTTCTCCATTATTGTCACACTTGCCTCTCAAAGGTGTGTGTGTGTGTGTGTCATCCTCTAATGAAGTCGTGAATATTTAATAAGAAGGAGGTGCAGGTGTTGCAGACTGGTGTCTGATATCAGGGGCTGCTCTATTAGGCTCTGATCCAGGACTGAAATCTTGGAATGAGTCTCAGTTCACATGTTGAGGTGTTAACAATATTTCTATTATTACTACTACTTCACACTGTTAGCTCATTCCCTGGCCACTTTATTGGGTACATTTATCTAATGCATTTAAAAACCTTCAGTTTATGTTGACACTGGCAGGGGTGCCTGGATTTTTCCCTGAGATGCCTAAAAAATATTTGAATGCTCCTTTAATCTCTTGTGCACAAACCTGACAGCAATGTACTCAAAATAAAAAAAAAGATTTGTTTGGTTACAGCCATAATGCTCTTTTGTCAGGTAACTCTGTAGGTTTTACAGCTGAAAAGAACAAGTAGAAAAGATTCTGAACCACAGTTACATAAACATTGCACAGCAGAAAGGCTTTTGTGGCATAGAAAAGGGGATGTAAGCAGCATACCTGTTGTGTGGCAAAGCCTCTGGAGCCAAAGCAACAAGTCTGAACCAACCCTGTGTCTGAGTTGTTGATGATGGCACTAAGCATAAACTTTCTGCTTTGTTTAGAAGCATAAATACAGGTGGTGTGAAGAGTGTGTCCAAAACAAGGCTGAAGTCTCCCACAGGTACATGTTGTATTTAAAAAAGGTTAAGGCATTTATTTATTATTGCTCCTAGATCCTGCTCTCACCCCGTTGCTTCTAACAGCATTCATCAGGTAGAATTCAGGGGCTGATTAGACTCAGCAGGACATACTGCAGAGAAATGTTACGTTTTCCAAGCACTCACAGCTAATTTCTCTCTGTTGGACGGCTCAACATTTATCAGTCTAAGGCACAGCGTAGAAAAAAGCGGCTGTCTGATTTGTTTCATTAGAGCCAGTCCATCAGCGCAGTCGGGGCTCGGGGAGTGCTCTGTGTAGTCACGGACAGATTATGAGTCATGTTGGGGAAGCTGCTGTGAATCTACCAGTTACTTTACACTGGGGAAGCTAAAGCACAGCAGAACTCTAGTTTGATTCATTGAAGCTACTTAGAAAAGCTAGGTCAACTGACTTTGTAAAAAAAAAAAAAAGATCAAATTGACAATGTGATACAGGATTATAACAACAAAGTCACATACCATATCACTTACCTGAGTTCTGTTCGGCACTGCTGATGTGCTTGTCAGTGCTGAGCAGCCGCTCACACACAGCCGCACACACACAGCTCTGGCTTGGACACCGGTGTTGAACTCTATGAAGAGTTTTTGCATTTTTGGCTGAGATGACAACACAGATAGTGGGGACGTCCACCTTGCCTCCTTTGTCAGCCTGAAATTGTTTGTAGTTTCAGTAGTACACTACACAAAAACAGCAAAAACAAAACAGCTAAATCACTATGCAAATATAAAAGTAGTTGAACTACCAACAAGCCACTGCAAATGTAATTAAATGACTAGTTAAGTAAATGGCAGGTTTCAGCAGTGACCACTTATCTCTTTGTAACTGTTTACTGTACATGTACTATTTAAGTCTTTGTGTTTATTTTATTACCTTTTATTCATTTATTTTTTTTCATTCTGCCCCTTTTTGTAGTCATTTTGTGTGTTTTTGTTGTATTCCCATGCCTTTTTGTAATTGAGTCTTTGTGGTCATTTTGTGTCTCACTCTTGGTGTTTCTTGTCTCTGCTGTAGTTTTGTGTTTCTTTGTGGTTGTTCTGTCTTTTTAAAGTCATTGACTTCCCAACAACTAATGTTAACAGTCACTTCAAACAAAAGCTTGGGCCCAGGGGCCCAGGGACCCTCTAAGCCCCCAGGGCCCCCAGGCCTAATCCATTCATAATTAAACTCCAAGATCAGCAGTGGACTAGCTGAAGATGAAGATGAATGGAAGAAAGAAAAGCCATAACAACACAACTGTGTGTAACCTAAATGTTTTTTTACATGTAAATATGAGCCTAACGGTTTACACCAATACCCCCCCCTCCATCCACATGGTCGGTCTTCCTTTGCCAAGTAGTGTGTCCTTGGAAAAACCCCTGCTGGCAGCTTGATTTGTATTCTCATGATCATCCAGACATACAGACAGGCTGCGTGTCACGAAGCGCGCTCCTGCTGCTCTAGCGATGACAGAGGGAGGGATGAACTGAATGAAGGAGAGAGAGAGAGAGAGCTTTATGGAGGGAGGAGCCAGGCTGTCAAGGTGAACCGACAGACTTCTGTTATTATTACCCCTGACGGTGGAACCACGACGCGCAGCTCGCAGCGGCACCGCGCAGGGAGCACACACAGCGGCGGAGCTCGCATCCTTTAATGGGGGATAATGTGCCCGGAGCCGCCATCAACACACAGACACAGACAGACGGCGGATCTGGGAAAGTGTATTGTTCTCCTCTTCATGCTTTGTGATTTTTAAAAAGAATTCTGGGCATAAAGTTGAATGTGGCGGAGTGAGTTGAGTGCGTCATCTGGTAGGAAACGGCGGAAGAATTACAGGTGAGTTTTTATTTTATTTTTTTTATTTTTACCAAGAAGACGTTTTTAAACAGGGACCTGAAGAAATTGCCTCAGACTTCACTTTGACATCAATGCTGTTTTGTTACTTCATCTCATCCTTTCCATGTCGTGCGCTTACAACGTCAATTAATCAGGCTAATTGATTATTTAATTATTGTCAGTATCAGGATAACTATATCATCCTCTGGTTTCTCGCAGGCATGAAAAAATTAAAGACGCATTTTTGAAACCAGCAGTGCGTCGGAGAGGTTGCGTAATGACGGAATCCATCAGTATGTTTTGAATGATCTGACACAGACATGAGTCACTTCACAGGATTCATTATTTTGCTGTGTACAGTTTCATCCCCTGCAGAAACACAGGGGACATTCTGGGGCCCAAAGGACCCCCAGGTTTCCCAATAGTGAGTTTATAGCTAAGTGGTTACAGTGAATCAATGAACTTCATGTCACAGAAGACAAACCCAGTTATTCCATTGCAAGATGGCTGCTGTATACTTCTCAAACCAGTTGCTGCCCAGTTCATTAAATGTGTTTCCCATCAGGGCACGGCTGTCTAACTTGAAGTACACATTCAGGGGTTCTCATCCTCAAATATAATAAAATAGATATTTGAACAAGTAATTAACTGGAATGAAATAACTCAGATTTTGAAGCTTGTTTTTACTTATTTAAAATGTAACTATACACTAAAGCATCTGTGCATTTAATTCATTGTGTATTAGTGTACACAGTCACTTAGAATTTTGTTGACTGTATAAACTACAGGTCAGTTTTCCAACAAAATTCGTATTATGTGCACAAAGTGCATTTTCTGGTGAAATGTAGTTTCTATCAGCTGGACTGGTTTGGATTTGAACCTTCAATTCTGCTGAATCCTCTCCCACACAGTCTGTTTTGTCAATGCCCACTCTCTCCCTCCCCACCCTACCCTGCCAGCAACATTAGCACATTAGCATTACCAAGCCTGATAAGAGCAGAGACTCATTGCTCAGTAGAGGTAGTGAACATACAGGCATGCAGATAAGTCTGCTGTTGTCAGAGCTTAACAGTATAGGACTGATGAAGTCCTCCAACCTATACCACCCATATGCCTTGTGTATCCCTTCCCTCTCATACAACCCATAGGAACATCTCTTAAATAGCATGAACAGCTAGCAGACTGTAAACAAAGCAGAGAGCTCACGCATGTGAGATACTGTTAAAGGTTCTGGTCGTTTGGAACATTTGGGGCAACATTTTTAACAAATATACAGGTCAGATGTTGTACAATGAAGAAACCACCCACTGCAGTGGTGCATTTCCCTGATGTGTTTTTAATTGGTTTTAAACAACAACGGAGGCCTGTGGCACAGATGAATAAGCTGATCTAACTGATAGACATTAACTGTGAGTAGAGGCAGTTCAATGTTGGCTTTAGTCTCTGCATGAGGATTGTTGAAATTACTGGAAATATAGAAAGTGACCGACCTCATCCTTGATGTCCTTTTCAGATTTTCACGGAAACCCTGAACATATCTAGACATTACCCAGAGGAGCTTTAGCTGAGAACGCAAATGTTCAAGTCAGTTGAACTGGACTTTACCCTGGCAGCTCCATGAATACAGCAGGTTACTCCTGGGTGTTTATAGGTGAGAAAGCATCTGTCAGTCTTGTATTGATATGTGAAAGAAAGGACAGGTGGACGCAGACGCAGTAGGAATGATACTGTTGCTCTGTCACTGCAGGAAACAAGCAGCTGCTAGACAACAAGTTCAACTTACCTACTTCAGAGGTGATGATACATCAGTCTTGTACTCACAACATGTTTTCGTTGCCCCCGGCACTTTGAAGAAGTGTTTTATACAAACAAGTCCCAGTTTGGCTTGGGCTGAGTCTACATACACACACACGTGCACGTGGTTGAATTCACCTCCTGGGTTCACGATATTTGGCTGATTGACAGTTGGTGGTGCTAATGTGCCGACAAGGAGTGATGGAGACGACTGCTACCCGGTAAAAATGGGGTAAACAACTCTGGATTTAAAATAGGTTTAATATTTGCTAATGTTTTATTTGGAAGGAAACACACTGGGCATGTTAGTGAGGTCACGAGGACACAGTGTTATAAAGTGTGGATCTGTGTAAAGATAACTTTGTTTACAAGACAACCCCACCTGCCACCTTTAACCACTCCTCACTGACATGGGTGGGAACACTCACTTAGCCATTGTCCTGTGTCTCTTCCTTTTGTCTGTGTGCTCTACAGACAAACATGCGCCTAAATGTTTCCTGTTAGAGTGAGGATAAAAGCAGCACATGGACTTGAGATGGTTAATTGTGCAACATCCTCCACTTTCACTGGTTTTATATGTTGGCCAGTGAGACTTTGTTGTTGCTCTATTTTTAATTCCAATCTTGCTTTGAAGTCAGTCCTTTAGAACCGAAGCTTATCAGTCTGACTTCTGAATGTGGCCCATTTGAAATAGGACAAAAGAAATGGTGTGAGTACTGTAATGTGGGCGGATGGTGAGCCGTATGTTTCTGTGCGCTCCTTTTCAATGACTGGATCAGACAGGCAGGACGCAGAGTAAACAAAATCTGTCCCATATCACTGCTGAGAGACTGAAGTGTCAGCAGCTGAATACCTGGAAATTACACAGAGCACAGGGGAGTGTTTACCTTGGGTGCTATAGAGGTGAAAGAATAAAATAATAAAGACATGACATAAATGCAGAGGCTCCACTTGTCCTGTAAATGTAACTGTAATAGCCTACAGCAAAGGGTCCTGTCCAGGCATTAAAACATTCTTCTTAGCTCATCACATATTTGAGGAATAGGTGAAAACTCAGTATGTTTCAGCTTTGGGGGAAGTAGGCATCACTTCTCTCAGAGGACAGATGTCTTATTTCAGAGTTGCTGAAAATGTCATGTTTTCAGTTCAGGTGTGACAGCAGCCAGTGGGATGAGTAACGACGGTTATGAGTATGTCAATGTGATGTGGGTTCCCTCAGGGGCCTTTCAGAGAGGAGGGAAGGAAGTAGTACTCTGATAATCTCTGAAGTGTAATAACGATATAAACAAAAATTGTTGCTGCTGACAACCACAAGAACCACAACTGAGCTTGGCTGATGTAAAGATGAGCTGATCTTTAAATTTGTGTTGCAACCTTTGCTCTCTGATCATTACTGACCATGATCTCACCTCCCTATGTGCCTTTGTAGAGCAGTGTGAGGCCAAGGAGTCCCGCCTGGATCTGAGAGGGAAGATATTGGTGTCCTGGCAGTATGGATGGACCCATGGCTCCAGCACCTAGCTATGCTAACGGGACCGGCTGCTTTACTTCACACAGGTGAACCGAGGAGTCACACATCACCTGTGAGGTTTCTGGTGCTTCTGACTGGACATCACCTCAGTTTATCTGACCCAGGTCTTTGTTTCTTCCGGCTTCAACTCTTCCTTTTGTATTATTTCCTCTTGTCTCTTGGACCAAAGCTCTGCCTCAAAAACCAGCTGATGATGCCACTGTCATTTTATTTTCTGTCCGAGTAGACTTAAAACCTTTCAGCAAGTGCAGCTTTACCAGCCTTTCATGGATTATTGGTGGAACCTTCTGGAGAATTTAAATGGATGTCTGCTGCTGAAACAACAGGGAAGGTGCAGAGTTCATCTGTAGTCCTTTGGAGTAACAGTGTGCCTGTGAATGTGTGTTCATCCTGGGATTCAAACACATTTCCATCTCAGTGAGGAGCCGCAGGAGAGCTGATTTCTAAAACATCTGGACAGATAGAGATGATTTTTTTTATTTGTTTCCTGATAATTTTGAAATATAAAAACTGCTTCTTGTGAGATAAATGTACCTTTTACATAAAAGAAATTGGACAAAGATTTTGTTTGAAGTGTTTGGTGAACTTGGGTGTGGTGCTGTGGCATACCAAGTTTCTTATTTCCAGACACGCAATTTGGACAGAACCCTTTTTTTAAAAGCCAGTTTCGGCTGTCAGGCCTTAGAAGTGTGACATCCTTGACCTGTGTTTGCCAAAGAAGCGACAAACAGGAAGTAACGCCATTTGTCATCTGCAGTTATTCTGTAGTTCCCACCTTGAATTACAACCCACAGGACCAATGTCAGTATTTAATAGGCAACATTTCTGTCACTGCATGTGATCAATCTGCCGCCATTTGACTCGTTTACCCTGGAGAGACCAATCCAACACTCACCAGGTTTCCCAGCACAGCACATACATCCTGTTCTGGCCATCTGAATCAGCCTCTTCTGCCCTCGGGGGCAATTCGCTGCCCACCGGTGCCCGCCATGGTGATGTCGCAGGGCACCTACACCTTCCTGGCCTGTTTCGCCGGCTTCTGGTTGGTCTGGGCGCTCATCGTCATGCTCTGCTGTTTCTGCTGTCACCCCGCAGGATTCCCGCCTCCTCCTCTCCCTCCACTACCTTTGCAGCTGCCCAGGGAGCCGCCTCAGTTCTGCCCTCCTCAGCCTCTGTCGCCCCCACTTCCTCTGCAGGTTCCTCATCCCCTGCCACAAGCAACCTGGGTCAGCATGCCAGGTACAGTAACTGGTACTGTTTTTACAGTTTTGTTATTTGCTGATTAGTCGAGGTCAAGGTAGACACGGTTATAGATTGCCAAAAAAAATTTATTTTAACCTGCTGTTGTTTAAAATAGCAGTTTTATCAGGATACATCATTTTATGCTGATTATTTTACCGGTAGGCTCTTTATTTCCAGAGTTTTAGTAATTAGCACTGGTCGATAAGGTCGGGTGCTCTGCATTTGCCATGTTTTTTTTCTGGTTGAACAAATTGAACCTGAACACTGAGTGTGGGCTCACCAAATGTTCAGCTCCTACAGTCTGGCAGTATTTGGCATTGTGCACCTTTCTGAGCACAGGACAAGCTAACAGGATGTGCGGAGACTGAGTGGGAGTCGTCTGTGCTTCATTACCCTTCAAAAAGTTGTTGGCAACATAAAGCTGATAGTTTATGAGTTTGTGAAGGGTTTCTGTGTATTTGATTTAGTAACTAAACAAAAACCAACACATTTGTGTGTTGAATCATAATAGAGATTACCACTGACAACAACACTGATGTTTTACGTTAGTTTTACAAAGGTGAGAGCTTTCTGGCTATTTCCCTGTATTTAATCTGCAGAGGTCTGAATAGAAAAGATTAATTGTTTCATCTTTTGGCAGTGCTAGTCACACAGGACAATGGGTTTGATGTGCTTCTGGATTTTAAAGGAGGAAATTAAGATTTGAAACACTATGCCGAGTAAACACTACTTGTGTTTACTACAAACGTTCAAACATAGCTGCGTGTGATTTCAGCGCTGCTCAGCTCAAAGTGAGGTTTCTTTGTTCCGAGCTGCAAGGTGTAGAGTTTGCCTGTGTTGATCTCTCTGAAGCTGTAATTAGTAGTCAGCATTCAAACTCTCAGCTCGGCCATCCATTAGTCTCCACAGCAGACTCTCTGCAGGTTGTCTGTCGAGCTGAGTGTAAAATTACTTACAAATACCAAACCTGTCACATCCCGTTTCATGAGCCTAGGGCAGATTTCATTCAGCAGACTCGTGATTTGAACTCACTTTCTGTAGTTCAGGGAAAAACAAAACAGAGAAAGACTGAAGAAATCCGCATGAAGAAATCAAGATGCAAACAGAAAGGAGAGGAGGAAGATTACATTATGCAGTGTGTCAGATTTATTTAGACTCTTCGGTTCCCAGATACCACCTCCTTGCCTGCTGGGCAGCGTTCTCCCACAGGGCGTCATGGTGACAGCTGTTGCTGGGGCGCGGGCGGTGACTGTGGGGGCCGAGTGGTGACTGAGCGAGCAGCGACATGGCCGGGGTAAACTAGGAGACTGAAACAATCAGAGGGGAGAGTGTAAGACAGAGCGACATTCACTCAGGTCATACAGCTACAAAATACAAGTGAGTTCATGAAACAGAGTATTGGACAAACCTGATGATGGAGCTGGATGAAAGGTCAGAGGATTACTGAATTATTACATGATTGTTTTCAGCCTGAACCTGGCAAGAGATGAAAAGGTAGAGGCTCACAGAAGTCAGTATGATTCACCCTCTGTACAAAATGTCATGACAGCAGAGCCAATCAAACCACTGTTGCAGCTAAAAAACTGCTATCATGCTGCTCTATAAAGCAAAAGTAATAAAATTGGGAAAATATTACTTCAAATAAACAAAATTTTCTGTCAACAGAAAAGGAAAAGTCCAGCCATCAATTATCTACACTGCTTATTCCTATATAATAAGGTCACAGGGGGCTGGAGCCAATCCCAGCTGACACTGGGCGAGAGGGAGGGTTCACCGTGGACAGGTTGCCAATCTGTCACAGGGCTGACATGTAGACAAACAACCACCCACACTTACTCCTATGGACAATTTAGAGTTGCCAGTGAACCTAAGCTGCATGTCTTTGGACTGTGGGAGGAAGCCAGAGTACCCGGAGAGAACCCACACAGGCACGAGGAGAACATGCAGACTCCACATAGAAAGGCCCCGGGTCGGCCAGGGCTCAAACCTGGAGCCTTCTGGCTGTGAGCCGACAGCACTAACCACTGCATCACGATGCCACCTCAAGTGAAAAATATCTAGTAAAAGTATTTAGTCTCAAGAGCCCATAGAAATCTTATAACTAGTGCAGTTCAACTAGGCAGACAAGGCTGTTGATCAAACTGAATTTGTTTCCGGTACATGACCAAGGCAGCCATCTGCGGTGCCAACTCAGCCGATGGCTCTAACCACGACACTGTGGTTCAGTGGTAGAGCAGTCGTCTCCCAACCGGAGACTGCAGTCCACATGTCAAAGTGTCCTTGGGCAAGACACTGGATCCCCAAGTTGTCCCTGATGGTTAGAGCCATCGGTTGAGTTGGCGCCACAGATGGCTGCGTCTGTCACATACCAGAAAGAAATTCCTTGTGTGTAACATACAGTACTTGGCCAAATAAAGGTGGTTATTAAGTTAACAGAAACCAGGATTAAAGTCTCAGTAGCAAGTTATAAGATCTTATTAAGCTAAATGAGGATAAAAGAAATGATTTCAGTGAGATATTCTTTCATTGAGGCGATTTCCAACAGCCGCACTGACATTGTCACACTGTGTGCAGTTAGCTTTGGCTCATTCAGTTGGTGCCACCTACAACAAGAGAGGTTATCGTTCCAGGTGGTCCTTATCAGGGCTACAGCACGCTTTCCATCTATTCAGCAAAATAAGTGTGATGGTTCAGATTCATCAGGTTTAATTGCTTGTTTTCATCAACACCCTGCCTCTTTCATATAGTCACAACCAGGCTGCAGGTCTCAGAGCTGCTCCATTTGTGCAGTTCGGTGCAATGTTCAAGGGCACCTCGCCTGCAAAATGAGAGAGGGAGTTTTTCTTTTTACTGTCAGAATAAACTCAACATTCCTGAGCCCATGCTTTTCAAACTAAACCTTGCCTGTTATTCCTCAGCCCAAGGGCAATACATGCTACCATTTTATGGAAATTAACCCCGGAGTGTTTGGGATGTTTTTGTCTCAGAAACATCAGCGCAGTAAACACAGCTTCCTTTTTAAAGAATTCAAACTTCAACCTGGAAAAACTCTTCCACAAGCCACTTGAATTGTAAAGCTGTCTGGAGTGTTCCGTAGCCAGATGATTATGGCACAATGCACCATGTGGCACCATGTGGCACCCTGCAGCACGTGATGTTTGTGGATTAAGTCCAACCACTGACATATGTCGTGGGTCTTCCTCTTTCCTATCTGCCACTTACTTTGCCTGTAAAAATAACAAAATAAGGGGTGTAAGCCCCAACTAGTAACCTTGAAAAAAAAAAACATTTGGAATGCAAAACAGTGCAACAGCTTGACTGATGATTGTCAGCGTTTTTATAAACACTGGGGACCCTATAAACTCCAAGTACAGAGCATCAACATGTTCAGCAGATTTGCAACTGCATTTCATCTTATGCCGAGTTTAAAATGTAAATGTTTAGCATCAGGTCTGTCTCCAGCTTATGTAGCTGCTGTCCTGGTCTGCATGAGAATTTACTGTTCACGTTATTTAACATAAATATGCAGAGACAAAGAATGTATTCCTAATTGTACAGAAGAAAAGCAATACACTGAAGCACAGCAAAGTGAAGAATTAAAAGACAACAATGGAGAAGGAACAGAGTAAAGTCTGTACAGTGCAGCGGGGCACAAGTGATTATTGTTGAGTAAAAAGAAAGCCGGAGGGAGTCAAAGAGCATCAGCTGCTGCCAGAGATGTTTAATGAGCAGAGACAGACAGTAAAGGGTAAAACAAAAGGTTGCTGGAGTCCTGGTCACAGAGCAGAATGATGGAGAGGATCAGTATCCAGGCAGCAGCAGAGCAGAAAGAGAAGCAGGTGCTGACCAACTGAGCACAGCAGAGCGACGCCAGGAGCTGCTGGAGTTGTGGAAACCAGAGGGGAGAGTGCGACGTGGAGACGCTGAAGGTGCTGGCGTCATATTACACCAAGTGTGTAGCAGCACTCTACAGCTCTAAGGAACTTCATTGCCTCCTTGTAGCACATTTAATGTGCGGTTCAGTCCCAGTGTTTCCAGCAGCAGCAGGCAAAGCTCTGAAAACCTAGTGTACATTACCTACAGCAGCTAAACACCCAGATGTGTTTTCTTAGGGGTTGGGAACCAAACTGAAGCTACAGTATGTTCACATCCCAGCTGAAGTGACTCAGACCTGATAGTCCCACAAACCAAATCAGATGTTCTCAGATCAGATCTGGGCCACTCGTATATGTGCTGTGCTCCTAGATCCGATTCCTAGCCGACCTCTGACCGACCTCTTATCTAATTTCAAACATTTGCATTTGTTGTGGGCAGCACGGCATTGCAGCGCTTAGCACTGTTGTCTCACTGCAAGAAGGTTCCAGGCTCGAACCCCATGCATACATACATCCTTTCTGTGTGGAGTTTGCATATTCTCCCTGTGCTGCATGGGTTTTCCTACAGGTACTCCAGCTTCCCCCCACAGTCCAAACACATGCCTGTAGGTATGAGTGGTTGTTTGTCTCTGTGTGTCATTCCTGTGGTAGACATCTGTCCAGGTATACTGTGTCTGGGATAGGCTGAATAAGCACTATAGATGATGAATTTATTGTTTTTACACACAGGCTGAACAACACAGTCTTGAGTGGCACCTTTGTCTTGAAATCAGGGATGATTCAGTCCAACACTGCTCAAAGACAGTAGTGGAGGCTTACAGCAAAGGAAACAGGCTTTTGAACATCTGCAGCTGTAAAAGGAGGCTGCAGAAATGTCACTCAGCTGCCTGTGCCACTCTGACGGGCTTTGTGTCAGAGAAAGAACTGCTGTAAGTCATATTACTAAAGCCTTGAATGACTGCCTTATCTTCTGTCACCAGTTTCTTGCCTGTACATATAAAGCCTTCACTTGGCAGTTCAGTTTTTCATTCTTTAAAACTACAGCGTCTCTATAATGTCGATTTTGTGACCGGGTGACATCAGACTTGTTCTTAAGAGCCAGGTTTCACCTCATTCAAAGTGGGAGTAGGTTCGTGAATAACTTCATGAATAATTGTTAAGTCAGACATTTCATATTGGCTCAGTTGAGGAGAGAAATGAACCTAAATGAGACATTCAGTTGTATACTTTGTGCACACAGACTTCTCATGAAGCTTCTGACTCTCCCAGTGAGAGTTTTCTAAACAAAACAAACCAAAAAGCACTTGTTCTAGCTCCTCGGATGTGAATATTGGCTGATTTCCAGCCATTTATCACACTGATTATTTTTTCTTTGAGGTCAGACAAAAGAAGCAAGTTGAGCATGTTCAACTGGCACTGAGGAAATTAGGATGGGAATTTCTCACTATTTTTAGACTTTTTAAATGTCAAAGGATTAATCTGTTAATTTGGAAAATAATCAGCAGTGCTGGTAAGTCCATACAGGAAAGCTTCACTTTGGCAGGGGCGGCACACTGTGGGCCAAGTCCTCAAAGACTACAGGCTATGAATTACTGAGGAATGTTCCAGTCACGCTGCACCTGCGGCCGCCCCTCCCCTCCCGTCCACCCCCAGCTCTCACAAGCCATGACCGGTGCATGTTGCTCTGGCATTATATAAGCTGAGGAGCATAAATAACTGTGCTGTCACTGTTCAGAATATTGTACCAGGTTAATGGAATTATTATGTAGACCTGTTTAGGATGTTATTGACATGTGGATGTGCAGTGTGCCTGCATATTGCAACATGCACGCTTTAACATTGTTGACACTCTGAACACATGTTTGCCTCTCTGCCTTGTTACTGGTACAGTAGGCCTATACGCTGAAAATAGAGTTGAAGGGCACAATTGTTTTTTGTCTAGATCGGCAGAAGTGCACACACTGGTGCTGATAATCTAATCAATAGTTTCAAGCCCAAAAATATGTATACATCTATGACGTATTTATGAAAACAGACAAAACACAGATTCAGTAAATTCTAGGTTATGTATATAAGAGGAAAGTAGTACTGTATTACAGCTTCATGGTTGGTAGGCCTCCGCTAACCGCCGAAGCCCACAGGAATGGGACGGATGTGAGGTCACTGTGACCGCAGATGCCAAAATCTAGTCAATTCAGCCTCGAGTCCAAGTGGACCTTTGTGCCAAATTTGAAGAAATTTCCTCAGGGCATTCCAGAGAGATCGCGTTCACAAGAATAGGATGGACAGACGGCTTGAACATATGATGCCTCCGACCACAGCTGTTGCAACACAGAGGCTGAGTAAACTAAACAGGCGGCAGCAACACATCAGAGAACAGCAGCTTTGCTCGGCCTGGGTTCAAGTCGGTTACAATGGATTCTGATAGTGATTGAACAGGGTTTTCCAACCACATCTGACTGTCAAAGTCCCAACTTGACTTTGTTTCTCAATAGAGCAAACGTGCATCTTATTACTGCTTTTTTCTTCTTCCAGTTGACTTTGTCTGCAACCAAGCAACACTTTGAAAATGGCAGATTGTTTTTCATGATGTTCGAATGAGTAGTTTAAAGAAAAGTGAAGTGATTACACCAGGTTATACTAACTGTTATTTCCTCTGTCAGGGAGGATTATGGTCATTGGGCTAATATTTTTCTTGAGCTTAGGTAATTTTAGATCCAAGGCTCAAAGTGTAAGAAGCCCTACAGCGTTTCTGTGGCTGCCAGAGTGGCAGGAACATATCAGCTCCCACTTACTTTGCAGAAAAACAGTTGTACACAGTTTCACACAGAATCAACAACAGAGCTCAGAAGACCATTGTTTTGAAAAACGCTTTCTCATGAGCAACAACTGTGTTTTTAAACTTTTTGGGAGATGGCAAAGCTGCATTTCAGGCTGCACACCTCTCAGTTTCCCCAAGCAGATGCTGACATGACACACAACTGTTAGGGAGGAGGAGAGGATGTGCAACATTTATAGGTATTGATCCGGATCTGAGCAGATTCGTCCATCTGAAAATAGAAACTGCCTTCAGTTGTTTCATCAGACCAAAACTCTGTACCTTCACAATACATTGAAACACAGTCTCCACCATCTGACACTGCGCCCACAGGCTCCCGGTCAGAGAAAACCTATTCTAGAAATGTAGCAGAGGTTTTAAAAGGCAGATGTTTTTACATTTCTTATTTTTGTGCTTTGTTTCTCTGCAGAACTCATTTGTATAAGTTAAAATGTTGCTAAAAAGCCACAGTTCTATAACAAAACTAATTTAACAATTTAGTACATCTGTTATATCATGGAAAACTGTAAAATATGTCTTGTCTCACGTCGCCAGCTGGAGCAGCTGCTCTCAGTACAACACTGAGTCTGTTGACTATGATTCACTCCCGGTAAGCACCATAACAGCCAAAAAGCCTGTGCAATGTTCCTGATGAAGTTTGTACC